CAAAAAAAAAAAAAAAAATCTATCCAGTACAGTGTATTTAAAACAGGCTTATAAGGAACAATTTATGCAAACCATAAATAGCCCATTCCATAAATTTTTTAGAAAAGGCACATGGGAAGATGGAATTTAAAAAGTATTTCTACATTTTACACACACAATTCTTTCTCATAATCTTAACACTCTTCCAGGATACATTTGCCCAGAAGATACAAAGTGAAAATAGGTTACAGAAAGCAAAATTGTGAAGACAAACATAAATATACAAATTTATGCCTGGACTACTACTCCCCACTCCTTGGAAGTAGAAAAACTAAATTTCTCAGCACAAAGTCAGACTAGCTGGGTGTCAGTATCGTGGTTTCTAGAAGATATCTAAAAATAGAGCTTAAAAAGCTGTCTCTCCAAGCATATGAATCAGAAAGATCTGTAAATGTGTGGTAGAAACCAGCCAGAATAGTTCTGGGAAAGTGAGAAACCTGATGTTTATTTATTTCAAAGTGATAAAGGTATTTTACAACTCTAATCCCTGAGTGGCGCAGTAGTAGGAATCATATACATAGAGGACAAAGTCTAGAGTAAGAACAGTGGTACAGAATAAAGGGGAAAAATTCAGGAGAATGGAAGAGAGACTGACAATTTGTAAATTCTAAATGGAAAGAAACAGTTTGAGAAACTTGCTCAAGAGTCTAAACACTAAAGGCTAGAGAAAAGCTGAGAAAGGGACATAAGCTTATGAGAGAAGTCCAAGGATCCAGGCTGATGGCATTTAACAAACAGTAGCTGGTAAAATCAGTTTTTTAATACAGCCTTTAAACTTGAGACAGTAGAAGCCCTCCTAGCAGAAGTAACTAGAGAAAGCTAAATTGGAGTACTTGAGGGGCCCGTTCTTTACTAAATTCTGTGAAATATCCCTACTGTAACCTCCAAGGATGACTACTCAACCTAATCCTCTCAAAACAGCATAGTTAAATTCAGCTTGAACTATTCACACACGTTATATGGCAACACTTGGGAAGTAAAACTGGGGATGACACCAAAGGAAGAAAAGCAGAAGTAAGGAAGAGATTGATATGCAAAATGAAGAATTTACAAAAGTAAGATCAGCTTCTACCATGAATGTGATTGTATTAATTATTACTGATTAGGAAAACTAAAGGTAGCAAGAACGAGACAGATCCAAAAAAGACAGTATACCCTATGCTCAATCTACCTTTTGCTCTAAATCCACTTTATAAACAAAGGACACAATCACCCATTCCTTCATGTTCACTGATCATTATACACACTTGTGTTACCATCATACAGTGAGTATTAAACTGCTGAATAAATCACATGAATTAATACATTTCAATAAAACACACCAAACATTCATATTTGCAATGAACTATGATAGGGATTGTGGAAAATATAAAAACCTTTGACTTTATGAACTTATATTACAAATCTCAGGTATTTCAGAATCCCATTATTATTTAAAAATGTAGTTTCAAATCAGATATTCAAGTTCTTAATTAGAATCATTCTCTTATCTTCTAATTTTATAGACATAGGGTCTTGCTATATTGCCCAGGTTGTTCTCAAACTCCTGACCACAAGCAGTCCTCCTGCCTCAGCCTCCCAAAGTAAGGAGATTATAGACATGAGCACTGCACTGTCCAACTCCCTGATTATACAAATGAAAGGCTGCCAGAGACTTTTACTCTTCTTACTAATTGTGTTTCTTATTTAGGAACTACTTATTGCTGCTGTGCTACATTCCCTTCACAACCTGACCCAGTTTCAGAAATTTCCAGTTCTTCAAACCATCTCCAATACCTGGAATAAAGTTTGGAATGTAGATATACTCACTATGTATATGTTGAATAAAATATTAAATAAATATTAAATGTCAGAATGCATTAACAGGGGTCCTCCAAAATTCCTTTAAGAAGTCTAAGTCAAACATAACAAATTGAATTTGAAAAAAATATCTGCTCTGATTATTTAGGTTGAAATTATTAATATATAATTTAAAACAATTTTTTTTTTGAGACAGTCTCACTACATCGCCCTTGGCAGAGTGCCATGGCATCACAGCTCACAGCAACCTCAAACTCTTGTGTTTAAGCAATTCTCTTGCCTCAGCCTCCCAATTACCTGAGACTACAGGCGCCTGCCACAACATCCAGCTATTTTTTTATTGTTGTTGTTGTCATTGTTGTTTAGCAGGCCCTGGCTGGGTCCAAACCCACCAGCCCCCATGCATATGGCTGGCGCTTTAACCACTGAGCTATGGGTACAAAGCCTAAAACAAATTTTAAATGGAGAACTCACATATGAAACAGTATTTTTCCCCCATGGACCTTTCATGGGAAATCAAGAGTTTTTGTACAACTCTCACAAGCATTTCTTTTGTCATTTTCAATCAACAAAGCCATCTCCAAAATTCTCATTATTTTGAGAATAAATATTCAGTTATATAGTATTTCAAGGACTTATATGTACTTACCAACTAAGTGTAAAGTTTGAATTTTGGCTCCTATAGGAATTTTCAGTTTATTTTCAGGAGGAATTGGAAACGCTCCATTACGATTACGAAATTTCCCCAAAATGTGAACATGTGGCATGTAAGTCCAAATGGATTCTACCAACTCCAAATGCGAAGTTTCCACACCCTAGAAAAGAATGCCAAAGCAAGCATAAGACAGGTCTTAAATTTAGCATCTAAAGCTTCTATTTCTGTATCATAAGATGCTAAGTATATAATGGAACTTAAAACACAAGTTTGTTATGGATGAAACTTGCATGTGAGTAAACATGTTCTATCATTCTTTGGCCTATTATTTCATTGAGAGTTAATGCCAAAATATCCAACCAGGTGCACTCACCACTAAGTTCGGGCATGCCTGCAAAGCTTCTAGGACTCCTGGGATGCTAAACGCCTCATGGCCCCTTACTCTTCGCCTTTCAAGGTATCGAGGGTGAAGGCCATATAACTGTTCGACATCTGGCATCTTCTTCAATAGTGTTAGAAAACTGGAATCTGTGAAGCCTGAGAAGTTCAAAAGTATTTAGAGCCAAATCTTCCCTTTATTAACATTTATTATGCACTTAGAATTTTTATCAAAAGTTAAAAAATAATTTCCTTTTTATGTTTATAAGGCTGACACTACAGCTGAACAAATGGTTACAACAGAAAGTGTAACCTTTTAGTAATAGAGAAAATGTGTCAGAAACTCCACTTACTCTGGAGTTAATATGTTATAACAGAGGCTTTTAATTTATTATTGACTTTTGTGTTGCTGCTTTTAAGAAACAGAAATCTTCAGCAAAAAACACTTTTAATCCAGATGACTCGGACTTGCTTGATTGGTGAATAGAGAAGGAGCACTCTCCTGATCACTACCACCCTCCTCCTCCCCCAAAAGTGTTCTTTGGTCTATAAAACCTCCAGAGCTCTGTAGAACATATAACTAAAAAAATAAATAAAATATAATTCTCATCTTCAGGAAGCTCAGAGTTCCAACCTAATTCCCATCTCAAACTAGGTCCTATTATTCTATCCATTTTCTAATAATTATCTGTCCTGGTATTTATCAGTCACTGGCCATTTTCGACAACTTATTCTTTTGAAAAAGACAGACACAAGTTAGGTAAGAGAACAAGAGGGATCTGAACTAAGAGGATGCTGAATTGACAAGAAGCTATCTTTCTGGGAGGCCAGCTAAGCTACATAGTAGGAATCAATAAGATGGAAACACAGAGAAGCAGGTGACTTCTGCAGCAGGAGCTGCTGGCTAAATAAGCAGAGACAGGTCTCATACAGATCATCTGTAATCTATCACAGAGGCTTTCTATTTTTAATGGAAGCTGCCAGAAGGCCAACTGATCACTAATGACAAATTAAAATATTTATTATCCAGAATAAAAATAAAGCCTCAAATGACTAAGTCTTAAGGTTTCTGAAGTTGTCTTATTCATATAGAACTGGTCTAGATAAGTTATCTTAAGAATCACAAAAGTGTAAACACAATAACTAAGAAAAGGACACGAAGGCTATGCTAACCAGTTTGATGAAAATATTTCAAATTGTATATGAAAACACCACACTGTACCCCAGAATTGCATTAATGTACCTAGTTATCATTTAACAAAAAAAAAAAAAAGGAAAAAAAATACAAAAAAAAAATCACAAAAGTGAAGAGTATGAAGGAATCTCAGAGATTCATTCCTTGGTCTTTGTAATTGTAATATAGTTCTTATTACTTTCTTGTATAGTGACCTTTACTGACTGAGCCATTCAATGTATTAACTTTCTTACATGTTTTCTCATTTACACTCACAACCCAAATCAAAAAGGTTATCACACCATTTACACCTGTAAAAAATGAAGTTAAAAGAGTTGAAGGGCTACCAAGTGGTAGTGCTGAAATTCAAATCCAAGTCTGACCACTGTTAACATCTATATTCTTGTCATATGTTACATGCTGCCTATCAGCAAAGAAATGGGGAAAGTTGTAATTTATTTAGAGATTATGTGATCAACCCATAGAGATCACATATGTAAACCATAAAGTACTTTTATATGAAGGATCAGGGTTTAAACTCCAGAGGATAGGCCAGGGTGGCATCAGTGAATAAGGTTAATGTGATTTTATCCTAGGCTAAAGATTATTTGTTTTGACTCTATTGTATCTACTGCAAAGATGGGAGTCCTTGGGATCACTGGGATTTATCACAGCTTGAAAGCCAACAACATTGAAATTCTTCTTTAATTTGATTAAGGGGTAGAGAGCTTAACGCTGAGATTGCATCAAATGGGAGCTCTGCTATCCATTTCCTTTATATAGTCTGTTAATATCATCTTGAGAATTCCTACTGGCCTAAGCAGTACAAAAGTAAATCTAATATATGGAATAAGAACCATTTTCACACTGCCCTAATTTTTTTCTTCTCTGTATAAATGATTATTCTCTGAGGAAGATAAATCTTTCCTCCCAGAATGGCTTCTTTTAGGCATCTGATGACAATGGTGGTTTGCTTTCCACAAAGCTAAGTTCTAGTCTCAGATCTCTGCAATGTTATTCACAAGAAAGTATATACTGATAATGACTCTGGCCAACTGACAGAGTTACCAGGTGACTGATGACCTTTGAAAGGATGTAGCACTACAAACTACAATAGTCCAGTGTTCCAGAGGTTGTCTCCTCTGTTTCACAGAACAGAACAAGATAATTATCTCCATAGGTCTTTACTTCTTTGTTTTTTTTGAGACATAGTCTCATTATGTCGCCCTCAGTAGAGTGTCATGGTGTCACAGCTCACAGTAACTTCAAACTCTTGGGCTTAAGTGATTTTCTTGCCTCAGCCTCCCGAGTAGCTAGAACTACAGGGGCCCACCACAATGCTTGGCTATTTTTTGGTTGCAATTGTCATTGCTGTTTAGCAGCCTGTGCTGGGCTCAAACCCGCCGGCTTTGGTGTATGTGGCTGGCATCCTACTCACTGAGCTATGGGCACCGAGCCAGGGCTTTACTTCTATTAAGGCTTTTTTTTTTT